ATAAGTATTTTTGATTCGTTTTTTCGTAAATAAGGAACTGATTACCAGTATTTTTTTTGTTATGGAGGTATCGTATTGATAAAAGTAACGATAAAATGTTTTACTATAAATATTTTCGTATTTTATATAAACGTTTTAGAATTAATATTGAAAAACGGATTAAACAAAAATAAATTATGAAACAAAATAAATCCTCAGAAAAGGGTATTGAACAAAAAAAATGGGTAGTAAACTCCAAAGAAGCAAAAAAAGGGATGTTATAAGTGGTGGTCGTAAAAATCGATTATCGGGTTTAAACTCTTTTATTACCTATGAGGTCATAAGGGTCACTTTAAAATTTACCTGGATAATTCTTAAACAAAATTCTTTCGTAAAATTAATCCTGCAAAAAATATATTAACTATAATAAAAAGTTACATTTTACAGAACTTGGGGTGTTTTTACATAAAATTGTATACTTCAACACATCAAATTTCTTTATATAGATTATATCTATATAGAAAGAAGCTTAATGTATTTACTTAAGGTTATTGATACATTGTTTTTGTGATTTTTGGAAAAGAAATTCTTTATTTATGGCTGGAACCGTCGTTACTGGTTCAGAAAAAAGGCCTAAACAATTGGAACACAAAACCGATTTTTGGGAGATGACTCATGTAAAGGAATATAGATTAGAATTCGAAGTGCTCAAACAGCATTACTGGAGAAAATAAGAAAGTATGGATTCATGGTCACAACAATTCAGGAAATAAGAAGGCTAGGAAAGAGGCATAAAATATTTTTCAGCTGGAAGGAAGGAAGCAACAAGAAGCTTGGAGGACCCGCTTCTTTAAGCTGACATTGATAAACGTATGCTACCCAAAGAGGAACAGGGGGAGGAGATGAAGAAAGAATTCTATAAGTTGGTATCCAAATTATTTGGGGTGGTTTGAATGTTAAAATAGGCAAAGAAGAACAGTTCAAAGAAAGAACAGCCTAATTAATTTTACCACCAATAAAAATGTGGTTGTAAGCTCTAGGTGCTTCCCACACCGAAGTGTCCATAAAGTTATCGCTGGATGGAAGCCCAGCAAATCACATAGACTGTGTCTTTATAGATAAAAGAGCAGCTAGTAGCATATTAGACCTTAAATCAAGAAAAGGAGCGGTATACCTGACCATCAACTAGTTCAAATAGTAGTAACAAACATACACTACAAGAAGTATAGTAAGCAGAACAAGAGATAGAAAAACAGAATTCGAGGAGACCAGAAAAAAGGTGAGTAAAATCTGCACAAGCAAGAAAAGAAAATGTAAGAATGACCTCAGTGCAGAAATGGAAGAGGAATTCAGATACCCAAAAAGCATTAAAGAAGGATACAAACCCAGAACAAATATCTGTAGAAACGTGGATCTCAAAAGATAAAAAGTATCTGGAAAAATTTTTTTCAAACACTGCTTGCAACACAAGAGGAAGCTGAAATAAGACAAGACGTAAATCTGAGCGTTGAAGGGAAAGAAAGGACAGACCTGGCCGGCCACCTCTCAACACTAGAAGAAGGCCCAAAAGAATAACAATGCACCAGGAATAAATGAAAAACTTAACAAAATCTATCCATCCACTGATAATGAAATTATGAAAAAATGGCCCGATGACTGAAAAAATGAAATTATATGCTGTATTTACAAAATAATAAGTTAGGTAAGGAGGATAATAAATGAATCATATCTTTCTCATATCTCTTTCAAAGTCGGCATCGGAATATATTTTCAATACTATTTTTTAAGATAACGGAATATGCGTTTGAAATGATTTCCAAGTTTTTACGATGGATTTCTAAACTTCTTTCTTATATTCAACGTAAAGTTTAAAATTTGCTTTACCTTTTCTAATGTGAAAAGTGAAATGCTAAACTTGAATCCTGTTGCAATTTTTGAGAAGCTGTTTGATACTGAAGTGTTAGAACTATTGTTTGCGGAAAGTATGCGATTAGCAAACCAAGAAAACATTCATGCATTTTCAGTTAATGTGCACGAAATGAAAGCTTTTATTGGTTTTTATTTATTTATTTATATCGGCCACCCAGAGAAAAATTGTATAGGAACAGATCAAATATTATGACATAAAAAAATATTTTCACCTTACGAATAATGATGAGATCCAAAAAGATGACAAAATGTTCCAGCTTCGACCTTTGATGAACATCTTGAACAAAAATTTCCAACGGTGTTGTATTTTTCATCGAGATTTGCTCATAGACCAATCATCGAGATTTGATGAACAAATTTGACACAATTTGCGGCAGAAAATTGTAACTAAACCATGATAAAAAAGCGGCAAAAGAGAAAATGATATGAAAAAGCATAAACATATTAACTTACAACAAACCAAACACTACTAATAATGTTCTTTTGCTAACAACAGTTTTTGAACATTGACCATTGAGAGGCTGATCAATAAACACATTTACATCACATTCTATATTTTAATAATAGATATATTTTAGTTTATAATGTAAGTTTTAGCATATTGAAGATGGTTAACCACCAACTTTTTTCACTACAATTTGCGGAGACCAGGTAAGAAGTAACTGAATATAAGAAGTAAACTTTAAAAAGACAGAATATTAAATGATTAATAGCGATGTCTAATCTTAAATGTTAATTAATAGCACGACACAACAATTAATCCGGTTAATCCTATTAATCCACGAATTTAAGTATTAGGGAGTAATTGTAGATAAGAATGGTATAGGGGTAAAAGAGATAAAACATAGAAGAACTGAAAGCAGGAAAATTAAAGGATGCCTTAACAGTCTATGATGGGACAAGAACATAAGAAGAGGAACTACCAAGAGACTAGGAAGAACACTAGTAGAGTCAGTCCTAGGCTATGATAGTGAGATATATTATGGGTAGTAAAGGCAGATCTAGAATGACGGCTTCAGATGGTCGAGATGGACTATTTGAGAAGATGCGCCGGGGTGTCAACAATGCAACGAATAACTAATGACGAAATTCGAAATCGCATGAAAACAACGTCAACAGTGATAGACAGAATCAAAGTAAGATTGATAACGGTGGTTTGAACATCTGATAAAGATGGTTCAAAAATCCTTTTAATAAGTGCAAAGATAATTTTGATTTAATTTTTTTAGAATAGAAAGAATCTGTACTTTACTTTTTAGTATATTTTGTAGATTTCTGTAACATTTAATTTGTTTTCGAGAAAAATATGTTTGAAATGAAGCGATTTTCTTATTGCAGTGAAATTCCCCTAATTCGAATTACTCTCTATTATTCTCAAATGTGTTTTTATCTCTCTATGTCGAAATTCACTAACTAGCATTTTTTTGCAACTCGAACTGAATTACTACGGAATTACTTCACCTTTAACTTCTCTATGTCGAATTTTTAAAGAATAAACTATTTGAATCCGTTCTGTAAGGCAATTTTTTTTTATTCCAGTAATTTTATGATTCGAACTAGCTTAATATTTGTATTGAACTAAAAGTAGAGCTAACAATAGACCAAGAACTAGAATCATTTGGCTTTAGCCGTCTTATAAGACGCACGGCTAAACCCGAATGTTTCTACTTCTAGATCTAATGTTAGTTCTAGTGACAGTGCAAATGTAAACTAGAACTAACGCTATACCTAGAACTAGAATCATTCGGGTTTAGCCGTCTTTAGAGACGTGAGGCTAAACCCGATTGATTTTAGTTCTAGGCATAGTGTTAGTTCTACATAGTAACAGTGCTAGTGTAAAACTAAAACTAACACTAGACATAGAATCATTTGGGTTATTATATACAACAATCTAGAGCTGCATAACAATTAAAACTAGAACTAACGCTATACCTAGAACTAGAATCATTCGCGTTTAGCCGTCTTTAGAGACGTGAGGCTAAACCCGATTGATTCTAGTTCTAGGTATAGCGTAAAGTACATGTCTAATTTTGTTCTTTAGAACTGTAATTCAACTAATCTTTCTCAAACTCGAAGTTTTCTTCCACTCCCTTAGAGATTCGAGTTAGGATAACTCCACTATAATTATTAAAAATGAGTAATTTTTAAAACAGATAATGTTTAAAAATAAAACAATTAGAATTAATTGGAACATTTATTTGTGACAAAAAAGGAAAAATGTACATACATAACGATAGTTTTTTTTGTTTCTACGATTTTTTTCTTCTTTTCACATGATCTCTCTCTTTTTCTCAATATATACACGTAAAATCACGCACACTTACGCAAATATCAACCGATGCCTCGTAATAATAATAATAATAATAACATTTATATATTTATAAATTTATATTTTTTTTTGTTTTATACAAAAAGAAAAAGGAAAATAATAGATATAATAAAGAGAAAATCATTCGAGAATTTCGCGTTACAGAGAAATAAAGAAATAGGAAATAAATATAAACCAATAATCTAAAAAAATAAAATTATAATAATAAAATAATATTGCAACCGAAAATAAAGATGTTACGAATCAGATCAAAAAAAAAAAAGATATTATTTTCGAGATAATTTTAACTAACAATTGATTCGATTCCATCGTTTTTAATTTATTTTTTTATTTGTTTGCGAAATAAATTATAATGGATTACTTTAAAAGTAATTTTATTTTAATTAAGATATTAATGATGATAATGATTTAATCGGGGGTTAACTCTCAATATTTTCAGTTGGACTTTCTTAAATAAAAAAATTATTCAAAAAAAAATTAATAAATATTTTGAGATTAAACCGAGATTAAAGACAATTAAAAAAAGTTTACAAAATAATATTCCACACCGATATTTCCCTCAAAATAAAATCATCTTCATCATTATTACTTCGAAATATTAATTAATATAACTATTTACAGATTTTTGTTTTTTTCTATCGCGCATTTGATTCAAAAATAAAAACTTGAGAGATGATTTTTGATAAAACCTAATTTTAAAAGAAAATAAATTTTTAATTTTAGTGTCTCTAAAGTTTTTATTTTACAGAAACCCGATATTTTGATATTCAAAATAATATTAAAAAAAAGTAGGCTGCGAAAACTTTTTTTACATTTTTTTTTTACAAATAAATCACAGCCTACTTTAAAAGCTATCGAAAAAGTTATATACAAAGAAAAAATAAAAATATTAATTGATAATGCACATACAACCTATAAACGGAGTGTTTTTAAGTTTTCGTTTCTCTTTTCTTTCGATTTATTTTGTATCCATGGCTCACATCTGGTTATTTTGAAATAGGTAAACTTTAATAAATTTTCCTCGCCCAGTTTTAAGCCAACGGATACTGTCACAATGACGTTCCCGACGGCGTATGATATAAGGTACTGTTGTAATAATCATTCCCTATGGCTGATTGCGCATGAACCGAGTTCTGAAGCGGACTTAACGAATTATAACCGTAATGCATATCATACATTTTAATATCCGTTTTACTTTCGGTTGGTAACAGCCTTGTTATTGAGAATGGATGATTTGATGGTGTATAACCACCAACGGTTGGTTCTTGTTTCAAATGATGACCCATTGAAGACGTGTGATGATGTAACATTTGATGATCAGCGACGGATGCGCTACCATTTAATGATAACGGATGACATCGATTTAACATTCCCGATAATTCTTCATGAGACATATTTTGTTGATGATGTTGGGAATGAAGTGCGTTTAGATCATTGTGGTGTTGTAATAAATTCATTTGATCAACGTCTAATTTCGCCGCAGGATGAAGACTTAACATTAAATTCGAATCGGGCGTCGTTTTATCGAGATGATGATTTTTATGGCCAACATCGTCGGTGTGATGAATCGGTGTTTTCTTTCCCGATGAATTCGTATCACCGCCGTGATGTGCCGGACTTTTATGATTCGATCTTTGCATTTCTTTTTTCTCATCTTTAAATCGCTTTTGTCGTCGGAGATAACAACCATTTTCGAACATATTTCCCGAATCCGGATGAAGACTCCAAAATGAACCTTTACCGGGTTTATCGGGCGTTCTCGGCACTTTTACAAAACAATCGTTGAATGATAATGAATGTCTAATTGAGTTTTGCCATCTTTGTTGGTTTTGTCGATAAAAAGGAAATAAATCCATAATGAATTGGTAAATTTCGGAGAGAGTTAACATTTTTTGTGGGCTATTTTGGATAGCCATTGTGATCAAGGAAATGTATGAATAAGGTGGTTTTGCGTGGGTGTAACTTCTTCTGTATGTTTTGTCTGCTCTAGCTCTTTGGAGAGCGTTTGGGGAAGCATCGCCACCGCTTAAATCGCCACGTCCACTTAAACTTCCGACGGCACCATATCCATTCACCGAACCCATCGTAGGTCCCATACAGTTCATATTTGCAATTGGCGAGATAGCGCCGTATTGCATAGGTACTGATGAAGACATGCAATTGGTTCCATTCATAGAGGTCATCGTCGGCATACCTGAGTTCATGATGTTTGTGGTGCCGCAAGTTAAAGTTTGCGGTGAACATGTATTCATTGAAGTCATCCTGGAGGACATTGCATCCATTGAATATGTTGGGGTCATCGATGGCATTGCGTTCGTTGTCGTCATCGAACCTTCTGAATATAATTTTTGAGAAATCATCGCCGCATGTGTTGACACTAATTGCATTGCACTTAAAAACTATTTTTTTTATATTGCACAAAAACAAAAAACGTCTTTTACGGTTCCGTTTTGCACCACTATTGTCAGGTCTTGGCCGGTTTTTAGTAAATGCACTACTAAAAAAAATAAAGTTTCGATCGATTAACTTAGCTCCGTCATCTGGGGGTTCTGTATCATTGTTTACATCACGACCGGGTCCACAAACAAGTTAACACTTTAGGTATTCCAAACCAGCACTGATTGGAAAAACAAATACTCCTCGCAGCCTGTTTACTTAGATACTACAAGCTGAGTGAAGTACCAAGAGCTTTAGGTAGTCAAATACCAGAGAAAGAGGAGAGGGTAATCGCCATAGCAACCATCCGACCTATCAAATAGCGTACGTTCCGTCGTCCGTGGCAACTAATTTGTCTCGGAGGAACCTGATTCGCTCCCCACTTTAAAGTGCAGTTTCGAAGTAAACCACGCCCACGAATTCGATCGTGGCGCCAACGTCGCTCAACGTTAACTACCACGAAAACCATGACATCCGCCAACTTGATACGTTTTTCATCGATGTCGCGATATCCGTGAAGCGCCGCCGTCGATAACAACACTAATTACTAACTACTTCTATTTCGATTATTTAAACAAAAATTAATATTTCGTTTTATTTTTATTGTGTGCGTTGGAAAAATTTAGAGTGTGTTTAAAAGTAAAGATTTCTTTGATACTTACGGGAGAGCTTTCCTTCAAGTTTACTCGTTGACACATTTCTCGTTCGCGATCGATTTTCAAGGTAATTATTTTACTGTAATAATAACATTTGTGATCAAAAAGAAAACATTTAAGTTTTATTCCTATGGTAACCATGTTAGATAATAAAAACATTTCTTTTTTGTTTATGTTGTGATTCTTTTTTTCCTATTCGTTTATTTTATTTGATTGAACATTTTTTTTATTTATAAATACAAGATTTTCTTCTTATTTTCAATCAACTTCACTTTATCATCATTTATAAATATATTGCTAGACTGTTTTGAAATTATTGTCTTTTCTTTTAATCATTTCTGGTTGTTTTATGTTTGTTGTATTGTATTTTCTTCCTGTTGCACTGTAATATAGAAGGTAGTAACATTATGTCTTCTCTTTTAATATCCAAATTTCAATTAACTGATTATTAATAAAGATATCATTAGGTTTGCATTAATTTTATTAAAATTGTATTATGCTTTGAATTTTATTAATGACATTCAATTACATTTTGCTTGTAGATATAAGTATTAATGATATATTTTATGAAATATTCTATTGTGCATTTATCATCATTTTTGATTATAAATTATGCACTCTGATTACCGTTAATCCTTTATCATACATACTTTTGTCAAAAAGTGGTAAAAAATATCATTTATTTTTATTGTTGATAACTAATCTTTCAAACAAATTTGGCGTCGATACATAGGCAAAATTATAGAGTAGAAAGATCAACATACCTATTTTTTTAATACTTTGTATTACAAAATTTTTACTCTATATGTTTTTCTGTTCGTGATATATCATAAAGAATGAACAGTGCATAACCCTTTGTCACATTCTGCAATAATACAGGGCTTCCTTCTTCTTTTTTCCCTGGTTATCTTTTCTGCGCAACATTTTGTGGGCGCAAGTTTTTTTCAGTTGATGGAATAAATTCAAAGATCAGTTTCAAAGATCATTTTTGTTGCCACCATTTAGTTTATAAAGTATAAATCAATTCTTTCAGAGATATCTAGCAAATGAAAAAAAATAATTATATTAAAATTACATATAAAGTACACACATTTTAGAATAATTTGTAGTGTCGGGGTCGATTTTCAAATGTAATGGTTTTCCATTGTAGAAAAACTTCATTTAAGTTGGAATGTTTTAATTAGTTTTGGGTTGATAAGATATTAATTGCAGTGTGTTTGCCACAAGCGACCTCGGTTAAATCAGGCAAAATCATATAATTCCACAATAATCATGCGAATTTATAGCTTCTCCACTTTAAGTTTAGCCGAGGTTGTTTGCGACCGAAAAGCTGCAATATCTTAACTAGTTTTGTGTTTATTTAATATTAATTGCTAAACCTAATCGCAAACGATCTCGGATTAATCATTCGAAGTCGTGGGTTTTCCACTTGACATCACCGAGACGCTGCAATGTGTTGACCAATTTTGGGTTGATTTAATATTAATTGCAGAATCTTGGCCGTAAGCAACCTCGGCTTAATTAGGCAAAATTAAATATTTCCACAATAATCAGGCGAAGTTAAGCTTCTCTACTGTAAGTTTAGCCATTGTCACTTTACGGTTGAGGCACTGCAATGTAGTAATCAGTTTTGGGTTGATTTAATATTTTTTGTAGAGCCTCGGCCGTAAGCAACCTCGGCTTAATCAAGCAAAATTAAACATTTCCACAATAATCAGACGAAGTTAGTTAAGTTTAGCCGTTGTCGCTTTACGGCTGAGGCGCTGCAATGTAATAACCAGTTTTTTGTTGATTTAATATTAATTGTAGAGTCTCGGCCGAAAGCAACCTCGGCTTAATCAAGCAAAATTAGACATTTCCACAATTAGCAGGCGAAGTTGTAGCTTCTTCACTTTGAGTTTAGTCGTGGTCGCTTGCAGCTGATGCGCTGCAATCTGTTAACTAGTTTTGGATTGATTTAATATTAACTGTAATTCCACGGGCTATTCCGTCAGCTGGCGTGCTGTGAAAAAAACATTATCTTGCAAAAGAAATGTATTCATCTTATGCGATTCTTTATTGTTTTACAAAACAGTAAATCATGTATATTAAAGACAATATCGAATCATCAGTGACAAAACCAGAGGGAACATGCCACGAAAATAGTTTTGTTTGGGTAATTCTTGTCTGCATCTGATCACAGATTGTTTCTGAAATCCTTAAGCGTTTTATGATTATTGCTTATCCACGGAAAATAATTCATTTAAAAAATCCAAATTTGTTGAGCAACAAACAGCATACAATCCACATTGATGCGTGATACTTTATATCGAATGTGATGACAACAATGATCCGACAGAAGAATCAGATAGTGTATCCAGTAGCCCATAAAAATAATGTAAGTAGCTTACTCTTAATCATTCACTTTACCATGCTTCATTGGGTAAAGATTGATTTTACATAACAAGTTAGTACATTCGTTTTGATGATCCTTAATAGCAACGTTTACTTATTTATAGTGTGGCAGAATGTTATAGTTAATGAATATTAGTTTCCCTATCGAGGTGATGCTACTCTCCGTATTTGGTATATGCTAAATAATGTGCCATATGCAGGGTGAGTTATTAGTTTGAAAAACAAAAAAAATTATGTATACAAAAATTGTTTGACTCATCACATTCCATTACGTAAAATTATTTTACTTGTATAGAGTGTTCCATTTAAGCGTAACGGAAGGTACGTAAATTTGTTTAATCGAACACCCTGTATATTTCATCATATTATGAATACAACTAAATTTGTTTATACAACCGTATATGCTACTATTTCACAGCGTTCATAGTTCCTGAGATATTCAATTGTTCTTCCAAAATGTGCCCATTACAGGATCTTTTTAAAAACGATGTAAAAGCGACATTTTTTCCGATTTTGCCTTGAAACTGCGTCAGACAATAATCAAAGCCAGCAGGTAGATGATAGTATTCAAAGATATTAGATACACTATACAGGCTGTTTATAAAGCTTAGTTACTTTTAATGTTTTTCAAATGGCTGGTTTTTAAGGTTTTTAAAAGGAACACCCTGTATATTGTGCGATAGTTGAATTGCTCATCAAGTTTCCTTTAATTAATGATAAGTATATGTCTAACTTTAATAGTTTTCCTGATATTTAGAATTTAAAAAAACAAGTGTAATAAAATGACATTATTCTACTTAAAAAAGTGACAAAATGCAATATTATTCTCCCCTTTTTTATTTTTCTTTTTTGTTCGTCTATCATTTGTAAATCAGTAATATTATATAAAAATATAATTTAAAAAAATATATAAATAATCAAACCGTGATAAAAATACAATTAAATTGTATCCCTTTTTTAATTACTAAATTATTTGAAGGAAATGCAGCAACAAACTATAAATAATTACCAAACGTTGCTCAACAAGCAGGTATTGATTTAATTAGTATTTAGAAGTTGTTCAATATGCCGCCCATTTTCCCTTCTACCAGCATTAATGCGCTGTATAAAAGATCTTGAGGTATCTCTTAACATGTGCCTCTTATTTTCTCTAAAGTCGTAAATTATATGGCAGAACAATTGCATATTTTATTACTTACATCTTTTTAAATCTCATAAAGTACCAAGTCGCATTCAAATTTGGTATATGGCAGCAAAACTTTATATTTTACATTATAAAATATTAAGCAAATAATAAAGGGAAGAACAAAAAAAAGTAATAAAAATAGACAGAATATAATATTAAGTACAATAACGCATATTTTATGACACATTATTCTTTAAATTCTAAAAATCAGGAAAACTAGTAAAGTTAGATATATGACATACTTATCATTAATTAAAGGTAACTTGATGGGCAATTCAACCAGCACACAATATACAGGGTGTTCCATTTAAAAACTTATAAAAAAGCCATTTCATCTAAGGTTTATGAACACGCTGTATAGCGTATCTAATATCGTTGGATACATCTCAGGAACTATGAACGCTATGAGTTAGTAACATATACGATTGTATAAACAAATTTAATTTTATTCATAATATGATAAAATATACAAGGTGTTCCATTTAAAAAAATCTACATACTCGCCGTTACGCCTAAATGGAACATGCTTGTATAAGTGAAAATAATTTTACGAAATAGAACGTGGTGAGTCAAATAACTTTTGTATAGAACATTTTTTTTCTTTCTCGACCGGTTTAGTAACTATCGTTTGCCGGGATACTAATAACTCACCCTGTATACAGAGTCTAGATTTGTCTATTTTGAGATGCGGAATTTCTAGACGTGATTCAAAATTCATAATACTGGAAATATAATGTATTCAGAAAGATCTTAAATAAAATAAGATATTAATACAGTTATAATTCTATTTTTAGAAATTATCTAAATAAATATAAAATATTTTTTCTCTAAATTATTGTTGTCTAATTTATAAAACAAGTACTCATTGGGTATTATTAAAGGTGTCGTCTCGAGAAAATCCAGTGAATCATAAACAACGTAAACATTTGATCTGGTATCCAATTAAAGCGGATTTATCGAACCCGATAAATAAACTAATAAACTCTAGAAACTCGAGA